TCCTTTAATAATGATAGAAAAGAAGCCATGAAAACACAACTATCACATATTTAAAAAGGCTCTATTTTCTTGTCTCCTGCTTGACGCGGCTCATCACAACAAAGCTGCTCGTTACCTGCTCTTTGTGGAGGAGGAGGGCAGGTGACTTATTAGAATTGAGTGACACTGACCATACTTAATATCAATGAATTAACAATTAACAATTAATATCACGTTTTTAAATGACCATAATGTAAACAACAACAAAGCCCTCAGGAGCCCAGGGACGAAAAAGAAGAAGAGGAGAAAAAATGTGAAAAAGACACAGAGGTAACGTGCTGCACGGATCAATTATCTGTTGTAGTTAAGCTAGCTTGTTATGGATGGATGATAGTAACGTCTGTGTTTCCTAGCTCCAGTTAACATCAGTTATTTCCACTTTATTAGGTTAAGATTATTCATGTTAAGAAAATAACCACTTTAAGAAATACACTTCTTCTTTTGTTCTAATGTTGTTTGGGACACAAAACCTACTTTTATATTTATTGACATCTTTGTGTACTTCGTTAACTTTCACCCTAGTCGATTAAAATGTTTATTTTCCACCCTGTTGTCATTAATAGTTTTAAGCTCTTGCCTTTAGAGTATTGATGTCTAAGAGCATAAATGCATTTTGTGCATGAAGCCTCTCTGAATAGATCTGTGTGCATGCTGTAGGTCTGGTTAGGAAAATATTTAGGCTCACATGAAAAACTATGCTGAGGTTTCTGTTCTGCTCTGAAGAGGAAATAATATTTTGTGTTCACACTATATTATAAAATGCCCACCGTTTCACAAATGCTCATCTTCTCTCTCCAGATGCAATCAAAATATTTAAATCCATCCCTGGGCCGTCTGTGTCCACTTCTGCTCCCTGCACTGTTTGATATTGTTTGTTCTATTACACTAGTTATTTGTATTTAATTATAAAAATTATTAGAGTTATTACCATTTTATTCATGTTTATTTAAAGTATTTTTTATTTTTAAATAAATAATTAATGTTAAATATAAAACTGTATGCCAGTTTTCTTTAAGTGGATGAATATAATATATTAGTGGTCAAACTGTCTACAATTTAAGGGGCAACCGCTGAAATCTTTCCTAGGGCACCAAAATGGTTAGGGCCTGCTCTGGCCTCCACACATGCACACCAACAACACCTTTCATTCTAATATCTACTGAAAAACATAAATCATCAACCAGAATGAATAACTATGGGGCACCACCCTCCACCAGGGACAAAAACATGCTAACGGTCAGTTTGGAGGAATGCAGATCAACTATTTTAAAGAAAACATCTCAACACAACTCTTCCAGCTCAAATGGTGCATGATCCTTAAAGTTTATAATTTTAGGTTAAAGGAGTCTGCTGGACTTCCTATAAACAGTAACAGTCGTGACAGAAACTTCAATATTTTGTATTGAATTTAAAATGACATCTCCTCTGACTTTCTAAAGTCTGCTCTTTGCCTTGAAGTATAAATGTGGAAGTAAGTTACCTGGCACAGAGAGAAGGAAGACGACAAATCCACTCGCTGCTGCTGTTAAACTCATAGCTGCTCCTCTCATCACATCATCATGAGACACACTGGTGTGAGGTCGTCACATTAAACTTTCTTCTTCTTAAAATGAGGATGTGGTCTGTTAAGACACTTAAAAAAAATGTTATAGTTAACTTGTGTTAAACAGAAAAAAGACCACACTCGCCCTTCCTCTTTTTATGCATAAGTCAGAATAAGAGCAAGCCCTGACAGCTAAAAATATTTTCAGGACCTGGTATTTCAATGATATGTACGTATAATGATTTTAAAATGTGTGCTGTTTACAAATGTTTCATCAAGTAGACTGTGCTGTGTTTTATAAGTAAAAATAGAACAGGTGTGTGATGTCTGATTTGGGGACAATACCTCTGTTGCTGCATTCAGGTGCTGCTCGGTGATCCAAGTTTATGAGTTGGGAAGTCGTTCTTCCGACTTCAGTGTGTTCGTGTGATTTCAGTTCAGAAAGTCTGAATGTTGTGACAACAGCACAAAACAGCGTTGATGCTACAAAGAAGAAGATCAGAGAAATGCTAGTTAGTTTAGTTTAGTTTAGAATCAGGGACAGCGTAAAAAAAACAAAACAACAACATTAGTCTCAGAAGAGAAGAGATGCTTTGTATCAGATTTAGCTAGCTTATTTCCATCTGTTGTCCCTGGGCATTTACTGTTATGAGTTATATTTGAGCTGATATATGATATATTTTGCCCCCCATGTCATAGAGATTCTGACGTCAAGTCGGGAAGTCGGGCACCTAATTCTTTTCTGAGTTTCCGAGTTGTTGTTGCGACTTGAGCAGGCGTTCATGTGCATTTTACAACTCGAAAACTTGTTTTTCCGATGTGTCCGACACCACATGAATGCACCATGTGACCCTACATGACAGGTATTTTGACGTGCACAAAGTCGTCTTATCTTGAGGGTAGATTCCTGGTTATCAATGTGATTGTTTTGAAACATTGGACAGTTATGGGCCTGTGTAATCCTTGTCAGTAATAGAGTGATATATCAGTTTTAAAGTTACATTAATCAACTTACTCCTTATTGTGAAACAGAGCTTTTTAACCCACAACCAGACATTCAGCCTGCATGGAACAACCTGTTGGGACGAACTGGGAAGGAAACAAGTTGAAAAGATTGGACCTGATGTGAAGGCTACAGCTGAGGGAAGAACCGGACTTAAGGGTCTTCAATGTTCATCAGTTAAAAGAGATCATAAAAGGAAACTAAAATAATGAGTTTTTTGTGCCTTTAATTGGAGAGATAGGACAGTGAAAGAGTTGGAAATCAGGAAGAGAGAGAGTGGGATGACATGCGGGAATGGAGGTGGGATTTGAACCTGGGCCGCCCGTTGGAGGACCATAGCCTCCATACATGGGGCATGCGCACCAACCACTGCGCCACCAGCACATTAGTTTGTTTTAGTGAGACATACATCATCATACTAAGAAATTAAGGAGTTTTGTAAAGTGGGAAACATATGTTTACAATGCCAAACCTAAAATCAGAATAAAACACATAATGAAGTACAATAAGGCTTTGAGTCTTGTACTTATCTCTCCTGAATGAAATCCAGCAGTCTTATTTTCAGCTCTCTTGTTGTCTGTAGGTTAGTTTTATTTCTTGTTAGGTAGATTAGAGGGAGGTGCAGAGAGCGACGACCCGTTTTTATTAAAGTCTTCTTCCAACTTGGCCTCTTGTTTTAGATACTTTCTGATGAGAAGGAGTCTACATGAGTGGAAACACAGTTTAAAGGAAACGCTTACTTAAAGATGAGATAAGAACTTAAAAATCTGCCCACTCAGCATGAAGATATCTCTCACAGGAAGAAGAAGGGTTTACCTCAGATGTTTGATGATAAAAGTGAAGGGTCTTTGTACTTCACAGTGAGACGAGTTTCCCTCCGATTAAAGTTCAAAAGTGCAGACGTATGTATCAGATGAAGGTCATGATTAACATCTTCCTATCAGGGTTTTAAGAAAGACATAACATAAATAAATAGTCACATTTCTCAGAAGATTTCACTCACAAGTCTCTGATCCATCTTTCATTATTTTATTTTATTGTATTTAACCAGGAGGAGCATCCTGGCCAATCAGGCAGCAGCAGAGTCAACAAAGTTTCAGACAAACAAAGAGCAGCCGTATACAAAAATAACATAAAAAGCTACAAGAATACATTCAAAGACTTTTATTCAGTCTAAGAGCGTCTCTGTCGATGGTATTCAGAGGAGCTGTTTGTCAACAGGTAAGGCAGGCAGCTGATTGGGCCCCCAGGCCAGTAGGGGGCCTCCAAGGGCTGACAAACTTTAAACCACAGCAGTGGCTCAAAATGTACAAATTTTGCAACGACAGTAGGATACCTCCCTAAAGGGGGCCCCATCTGACAGCACTCCCTCTCCTTTGCAAACCAACATTTGTCAGAACAGGAAAAATGTGAGTTAAAAAAAAGACAGGAAGCGTCGGGACATGATGATTGAAACGGGTTGGAGGGGCCCCCAATTAACTTTTTCCTAGGGCCCCAACAGACTCTAGATTTGCCACTGATGGTATTCTATAGAAAACAGAGGTCAATGTTTTTCCACGTTCCTGCTCTGACCTTCAACAGAACAAAAAGACGTTGTTTCTCTGAAACCAGAGGTCTGGTCTGCTTCTCTGTAGCCCTGTTCAGACTGCCGTTTCAAGCTGCGATATTTACGTCCCTGTGACGTTTTGTCTTCAACCTGAATGAGGCAGAGACATAATGGGGGGACCAAGTGAACCCCCTCTGAGCATGTGCTACATCATCATACAGGCGTACAGTCGATCATATTGTGTAATGTAAACAAGCAGACGCAAGACCCCGAGCAGATGTGACCACCCGAGCAGATCTGGTACCTAGCATTAGCATGCTAATGGCGCACATCCCTACATACCACCCAGTCTAAGTCATGAAATACTTCCCATGTGTGGTAGATTTGACAGATTGGAGGTAAAAAAAACGAGGCTGCTTTATGTTACATTTATCAGGCCGTTAAAATCATTACAAAGGTATAATCTTTAAGTAGCAGTTCATAAGACATGTGTTGTAAAATCAGAAGCGACCTGCATACATTCAAATATATGAAATCTAAAACAGAGTGTGAACACAGTGCCTGTCGAGGTCATCGTCTTTGTTGACGGTGCTGTACAGAGCAGCTGGATCCTCTTCAGGTTCTTTACTTCTGGTTCTGAAGGGGAAAATTGATCAACATGAAGTTTAACTAAAAGAATTGAGTTACCAACACGTCCATTAGAGGATTAAAGTACAAACACATCAGAGGAAGATAAGAGCGAAAACAGCTTTTATCTTATAGTGAGAGTTTAATGTTTTCTCAGCTGCTCACCTCATGGCGGTGCTGTTCCTGGTAAATTTGACGGCAGCGTACTCAGTGACGTCCTGCTGCTCCGTTCTCCTGGGGCCGAGCTGGTCTGGTATTGCTGTACAGAGGCTCCTGGGTTTTAGAGAAGTGTATGCTGGCATACTGAAGGTCTTCCTGCTCCTCTGGTTGTCCCTGATTAGGTGAACAAAATCACTTTGAGCTGCATATTTACCATGTGGAGGTTTTTCATTTAAAAAGTGAATTCTAGCAGAGGACCGCAACCAAGATAGGAAAGGCCACAGCAACAGCACTTATGGTGATGATGTTATTAAAATACTTTGAGTGTTGGCACACAGTGTAGAAGGGGGGGATTTAACCATTTTTATTTTATGAACGCTAACAGTTAAACATAATTAGGGGCGTGGCTGAGTTGACTCCCAGGTGGGCGTGTTGTAGCCGTTTGTCAGGAGGCATAAGACCCGCCTCAGCTCCAGATTTTTGCTTGTTACTAGGTTTACTCAAAGACAGCATTTCCAATATGGCAACCACCATCAGTGAGCTTCAACATTTCACTTCAGAAACCAATGGGTGACATCACTGAGACGACGTCCATGTTTTAGTACAGGAAGAAAATTCAAAGACAGCCTCAGGAATTTGTTTCTATCGGACAAATATGAAATGTTCTTTCTCGTCAGCAAGTATAAATAATAAATTTACTCAAAGACAGCAAGCTAAAAGACATGTCACCAATCAGTAACTTTGGACATGTACAACATTTTAAATCTAAATAACTACATAATATTTACTTTGCCCTTTTAAATAATTCATGTATGGTATGCATTGTATTTATTTTTAACAAATTCCCCTTCCAGGCAGTGGGTGGGCTGTGTTAGCACTCTCTAATGACCAGCAGCTACTGTTCATGATGTCTGCAGAAACTAACGCAATGATTGTGTACTTGTAGGATGATCAGCTCTGAGCAGTCGGCTGAGTGAAATATTTGCTTGGTCAGATTATTGGACGGACCATATCGAGCACATTTACTCTTCTGGATGAACGACCTCTGAGTAACACAGCAGTCTGAATGAATCAGCGTTTATTTAGTACTAAGATATTAATCAGAACTATTCTCACCTGCTCCGTGTGTTCTTGTCTCTCTTCAGCCTCAGACGGTTCATTGGAAGCCCTCTTTTGTCTTGTGAGAAGAATTTAAAAGTATGATGAATTATGTTTTTTAGATATGACTGACTTTTAATGATTCAGTGAAACGAAGCAGCTCACCTGATCCACACGAGGACAGAGAGGAACACGATAACCAGAAGAACAACCGTGATTGTTCCAGCAACAGCCACTGATTTCCCTCCCCCTGGGAAATGGTGACCAAAACAAAGCGTTCAGATATATTTATCATCAGTCTGTCCTAAGCAGAAACCTCCACTGTTGAAAAATGAAGCAGATGTTGAAGGGTAAAATCCTGCAGTTCTTCGAGTGTCCACTAGAGGCTGGCTGCAGAAGCACAGGAAGTCACATCACACCCATTCAAAGAAGACATTTTTACAGCAGAGATGAACATGTTTACAGCCTGGTTCAAAAAAACAAATATGTCTTTTTAGCTCATGTCTCAATCAGCACACACTGTACTGGGGGTGAAGCATAGCTGATCTGATTGACAAGCAGGTGCCATATAAGGGTTTCTCAAGAGTTTAAAACCTCAGCTCCAGCTCTCAGCCTGTTATGTTGACTGAAAGTTAGGGTGAGACAGCATTTCCAGCATGGAGACCGCCATCGATAGGACTCCAGCGCCCCCACAGGAACTGATTTATTATTACAGTTTTAGTCGTACTAACACA